AGCAGCTGGACACACAGCAAGGGCTGCAGCCACAGCTGGGGCGGCAGCAAGGCTGGCAGCAGCCGGACCCACCGCAGCTTTGGCCACAGCAGCTGGACCCACAGCAGCTGGGCTGGCAGCAGCTAGATCCACCACAGCAAGGGCGGCAGCAGCTGGACACACAGCAAGGGCTGCAGCCACAGCTGGGGCGGCAGCAAGGCTGACAGCAGCCGCACCCACCGCAGCTTTGGCCACAGCAGCTGGACCCACAGCAGCTGGGCTGGCAGCAGCTAGATCCACCACAGCAAGGGCGGCAGCAGCTGGACACACAGCAAGGGCTGCAGCCACAGCTGGGGCGGCAGCAGGTGGTCCTGCAGCAGGTGGTTCTGCAGCAGGTGGGCTGGCAGCAAGAGGAGCAGCAGGAGTTAGTCATGGTGTGAGGAGTGGTGGTGGGCTTCTGCGGAGAGGTGAGTTTTCCAGACTCTGATGAGTCCTTGCAGTGTGTGGTCCTTTTATACACTGGGCCTCCAAAGATTGGACCTATAGACAGGACTTTTCCTTGTTTTTGTTTTCATTGTTTCCTATCATACTGGGAAATGGTCAAAGAGGAAGTCTTTTCCTAACTGTTGTGAATCTTTTTGACAGTAATTGTTTAATCAGTTTCTTAATTGAGAACAACTCATAGAAACTTTTTTCAGATCAAAGGAAGGTGGTGACAGTATTAGCATCGTTCCTGCTCTGATGATCACCTCATCATGTGATAGCTCCTGCTGGCTGCGGGAAGGCTGGGGCAGTTTCCCTCCCAGCTTTGTTCTGTTGGCTGATGTTTGGATGTTGAGTGTCTGTGTGGAGGGGCATTATACTGGTACGTTCACAGAGAAAAATTGAATACCTGGGTCCAAGTCTTTTCACCCTGAACACTCTGATTCAAGACTAACAGGGAAGCATCTCTGGAGAGCCTACTGGACCCATGTGTCCTGCTTCTAACGAAGACAGTTGGGGAGAGGATGTTTGGCACGATGTGTTCCCTATGGAAGAGCAGAACCAGAGCAGGTGGGTAGGTGCTGTAGAAGTGTACTAGGACTAAGAAAGTATCAATCGGTTTATGGGTGACCATTCATTCTGATTTGCCCCGGACTGAGGAGCTGGCCTGGATGAGAATGTTGGATTTGCTATTATATCAATTCTATAGATGCAGGCAAACCAGGGTAATCTGGTGACCTTAGTCTTAACCCTGGTTACCAGCAGAGCTTATGTTTTAGGTCACTGACTACACATTTCTTAGGTCTTTCTACATTTTCAAAGAAGGAATCATGTTAGTTGAGATGATACCTGCTTTGTCTTTGAGGTCTAACATGTCCAAAACTTTCTAAAGTTATATCATTTATTTAAAATGAATGCAAGTTATTAATTTTCTACTTGATAGAGTATCACAAAGTAAATACATCCATGTCACTATTACTAATTACTATTGACAGGAAGTAGAAATTAATCCCACTTCCTCCAAATCGTATCTTCTTACTCATCCCTAAAGGTAGTATCTAATCACTCTATTTACTTGTAATCCTGTGGCCAGTTTTATGTTTTTTCACTTTTATGTAAATAAAAATACATAGAATTAACCTCTGTACTTTTACATTATGATTGTGAGATTCATCGAAGTAATTATTTGTAGTTTATTCATTGCCATTTTTGTATAATCTGCCACTGAAGGAATATGACACATTATCTTCTGGTTGTTGTTCTGATAAATGTATAGCTTATTTGCAGATTGAGGCCAATAGGAGTAATGCTGCTTTGAACGCTTTTGTGTAGACCCATTAGTAAACATGAATAAACATTTGTGTTGGACTAACAAAATAGACGTAGAATTGCTCATAGAATTGTTTGTTCAAATCTTTATTCTGTTGTCTTTAGAAGTCTTAACCATATTTTATTATATTTACTCTTAGTATTTATTTATTATTTATTCATTTTTTGATGCTCAACTCAGTATAATTAGTATATTCAGCATTACACGATGTAATCATTTTTTCTGGCCTTTCACCCATTTCTTGCTAACCCAACGTCTGCCTTCTCCTTTCCCACTTCTGGTGGCTTCAATTCTATTCTCTCCTTTTGGAATTTGAACAAATTGTTGTGTCTTTCTTTCTTTTTAATTTACTTTTCAATTTTTAACTCCCACTTATGAGTGAGGACATGTGGTATTTCTCTGTCTGTAACTGGCTTATTTCACTTAACATGATTTTCTGTAAATTCATCCACGTTGCTGCAAATGGAAGAATTTCATTCTTTTTTATGGCCTAGTAGTATTCCACAATGTATATATACCACATTTTCCTTATCCAGTCATCTGTCGATGGACATTTAGGTTGGTTCCAACTCTTGGCTATTGTAATCAGAGCTGTGACGAACACGGTATCGTTTTGACCTGATGATTTCCATTCCCTTGGGTATATAACCAGCAGTGGAATTGCTGGATCGTATGGCAGTTCTATCTGTGGTTGTCTGAGGGACCTCCATACTGTTTCCCATGATGGCTGCACCACTATGCACAGTCGCACCAATAGTGTAGGAGAGTTCCTCATTCTCCGCATCCTCACCAGCATTTGTTAGTTCTCTATCTTTTTGATAATGGCCAGTCTGACTGAAATGAGATGATATCTCAGTTGGTTTTGATCTGCTTTTCTCTGATGCTAGTGATGTTGAGTATTTTTTCATGTGTCTGTTGGCCATTGTGTATCTTCCTTTGAGAAATGCCTACTTAGCTCCTTTGCCCATGTTTTAATTGGGTTCCTTGTTTTTTTACTGTTAAATTTTTAGAATTCTTTGTATATTCTGGATAATAATCCCTTGTTGAATGAATAGTTTGAAAATATTTTCTCCTGTTCTATCAGTTGTCTTTTTGCTCTGTTAAATGTTTCTTTTGCTGAAGAGAAGCTTTTTAGTTTTATATAATCCCATTTGTTTATTTACTTGTTATTATTTTTTTTGGTTCCTTGTTCTTTTGGGGTCTCATTCATAAAGTCTTTCCTGAGTGCTACTTCTTGAAGTGTTTCTCCTATGTTTTCTTTTAGTAGTTTTGTGGTTTCTGGTCTTATACTTAAGTCTTTAATACATTTTGAGTTGATAGCAAGCCCAACTACTTGTAGAGGTCCAGTTTCATTCTTCTGCATATGGATGTCCAATTTTCTCGGCACCATTTATTGAAGCACCATTTATCTTTTTCCCAACATATGTTTTTGGTACTTTTGTCAAAGATCAGTTGGCTGTAAGTATGATGGCTGATTTCTGGGTTTTCTATTCTGTTCCATTGATCTCAGTGTCTGTTTTTATGCCAGTACCATGCTGTTTAGGTTACAGTAGCTTTGTAGTGTAGCTTGAAGGCAGGTAGAGTTATGCCTCCAGCTTTATCTTTTTACTCAGGACAGCTTTGGTTATTATGGTCTTTTGTTGTTCCATATGAGTGTTAGGATTGTTTTATCTATTTCTGTGAAGAATGTCATTGGTATTTTGATGGGGATTGCATTGAATCTGTAGGAATCTGTAGATCACTTTGGGTAGTATAGACATTTTCACAATGTTAATTCTAATCCAAGAGCATGAAATGTCTTTCCACCTTTTTGGGTCCTCTTTAATTTCTTTCAGTAGTGTTTTGTGGTTCTTGTTGTAGAGATATATCACTTCCTTGGTTAAATTGATTCCTGAATATTTTATTCTTTTGGTGACTGTTGCAAATGGGCTTGTTTTCATTGTTTCTTTTTCTACAATTTCATTATTGGAGTATTAAAATACTACTGATTTTGGGGTGTTGATTTTGTATCCTGTAACTTTACTTATGTTATTAATCAGCTCTAAGAGGTTTTTTGGTAGAATCTTTAGGCTTTTATATATATAGGACCATGTCATCTGCAAAGAGGGACAGTTTGACTTTGTCTTTTCCAATCTTGATGCTCTTTATTTCTTTGTCCTGCTTCATTGCTCTGGCTTGTACTTTCAATACCATGTCAAATAGGAGTGGTGAGAGTAGGCATCCTTGTCTTGTTCCATTCTTAAGGGAAAAGTTTTCAGCTTTGACCCAATCAGGATGATATTTGTGGTGAGTTTGTCATATCTGGCTTTTATTGTGTAGAGATGCTTTCCTTCTATACCTAATTTGCAGAGGGCCTTTATCATGAATGGATATTGAATTTTATCAAATACTTTTTCTGCATCTTTTGAGAAAATCATATGGTTTTGTCCTTGATTTTGTTGATGGGGTGTATCTCATTTATTGATTTGCATATGATGAACCATCCTTGCATCCTTGTGTATATATTTTTTGATCACGCACGCACACGTGTGTGTGTGTGTGTGTGTGTGTATAGATGTGTTGCTGTATGCAGATTGCTAATATTTTGTTGAGGATTTTCGTACCTATGATCATCAATGATATTGGCCTGTAGATTTCTTTTTCTGTTATATCTTTGTCTGGCTTTGGTATTAGGGTGATGGTGGCCTCATAGAATGAGTTTGGGAGAGTGCTCTCTATTTCTATTTTTTGGAATAGTTTGAAGAGAATTGTTGTTCATTCATCTTTAAAAGCTTGATAGAATTCAGCAGTAAAGCCATCTGGTCCTGGGCTTTTCTTTGTTGGGAGATAGTGATTACTGCTTCAATTTCATTGCTTGTTATTGGTCTGAATGTGTTTCCTATTGGTTCGGTGGTGGTAGTTTTTAAAGTTTCCAGGAATTTATCCATTTCCTCCAGGCTTTCCTATTAGTTGGCATATGGTTGTTTATAATAGTCTCTAATGATTCTATGTAGTTCTGTGGTATTGTTTGTATTGTCTCCTTTTTCATTTCTGATTTTTGCGATTTTGGTCTTCTTTCTTCTTTTTTTGTGTTAACCTAGCTAATGGTTTGTCTATTTTATTTCTCTTCTCAAAAAAACAACTTTTTGTTTCATTGATCTTTTGTATTGATTTTTGTGTCTCTATTTCATTTAGTCTGCTCTGACCTTAATTATTTCTTCCTATTACTTTTAGCATTGGATTGTTATTGTTTTTCTAGTTCTTTGGAGTGTAAAGTTGTTTATTTGAAGTCTTTCTATTCTTTTGAAGTAGCTGTTTATTGCAATAAACTTCCCTCTTTGTATTGCTTTTTCAGTATCCAACAGGTTTTGGTATGATGTGTTTTTATCTTTGTTAGTTTCAAGGAATTTTTTGATTTCCTGTTTAATTTCTTTTTGGACGCATAGGTCATTCAGGAGCCTGTTTAGTTTCCATATATTTGTATTGTCTCCAATGTTTCACTTATTATTAATTTCCAGTTTTACTACATTGTGATCTGAAAAGATATTTGAAATGGTTTCGATTTTTAAAAATTTGTTGGGACTTGACTTGTGACCTAACATGTGGTCTATCGTGGAGAATGTTCCATGTGCTGATGAGAA